CCTAAAATCAGAAAGGTTGAGTGTCATATATCTGCAAAGGAGCCCTGAGGGCTTTGTGCTGCTGGATAAGAAAAATTCAATTGTATCCCCAAGAGAAGCAGCCAGTGGAGTTTTCTCCTCCTAAAGCTTCAGAAGGACATCATGGCTCTGAGAAAGTGCTCTGGAAACTGGACCAGTGCATTTAATTAGTATGTACTATAATTTTTGGTTTCTGTAATCAAAAAGTCTTCAAAGTGTTCAAAAGTAGATAAAACAGAAAAATATGCCCACTTAGGTACAATGGCATATATTTGCAACAGTGTTTGACAAATGTTTACTTAAGAATATCATTGGTCAGTGTCCTTAGACAATTGATGAATTTTAATCTTTCAAATGCGAAAATAATGGAAGGAAAAGGAATAAAGGGAAGGAAGGAAGAGGAGGAGGAGGGGACCCTTGAATAGATGAAAACCATCAAAGGATTTTTTTCTTTTGAGAGTTCTATCATGATAAGACACCTGCTCCCTTTGCTACAAGCCAAGCTAATAATATTCTCAGCTAATGTTTAATGAAAATTAACTGCATACTAAGAACTTTGAATTATGTGGATTATCACATTTGATCCACATAATAACTTTATGAGATAGGTGCTATTTTCTCCTCCCATGTCATTTTCCCAGTAAAAAGTAGAACTGAGATCCTCTTAACTGAGAGAAGTCTGACTCCAGAGTCTATGTGATCAAACATTGACACTATACTGCTCCATGAGAATTGGAAGGGGAGAACCTAGCCAGGCATTAGCTACCTCTCTACCACCTACAGAGGTCATCATTCTAGAAACGAGTCTCGGAAGCGGAGATCCACTGTATACAGTTCTTCAAGGTCATTGAGCTGCTCAAGAGCGCCATGCTAAGGAGAGACCACTCACATTGTAGATGTATTTTAACTAGTATGAGAGGCTATAGATGGAGATGAAGATCTGGAGCTCTAGCACTGGAAGCTGCTTAAGTCCTGGGAGAGCAGCATAGACTGCTATTATGCCGCGGTGCAACACACCAAGTGCACAATTGTCCTGTCTGGCGAACTCAAGCACCCATAGAGTTGTTTCTCTTCCTCTGCTGTTCTTTCCAGTGACTCAGTTTCTACCCCAATCTGCCTTCCAAATTTGGAAGGAATCGCACAGAGAATACATGCCTGCCATCTATGGCTGTAGAGTGCACAACAATATACCAACTGAATTTATTCCCTAGAAAAAGTTGCCTTTCTAATTGAGCTCCAGAGGTGCCAGCAATATCATATCTATCAGAGGTCTAGTGAAGGTCCCAGGTACAGCTTACATGCCCCATCCCCTTGTGCCCATTCATTGGAGTGCTTCAACTGCATGCACAAGCCAATTATCTCAGTTTCAGACCAACAGAGATTGGAAGATCCACATCTTTTTACAAGAAAAAAACCCATAAACTATTTTCCAAAGGAAATATTGGAGTATTACTCAAGTGTGTCATCTATTTGGGTAAGCCACTTCTCAATTATCTTCTTTCCATGAAGATCGTCATTTGCATATTATGCTTTGTCAGGAACATGAATTGGCCTTACCAGTTCATGCAGCTCACAGTCAGTGACCAAAGCTTACTTGGGTCTTTCTGCTATGGGCGTTAGAGGGGCCAGGTCAGCTGGAAGCAGCTGCCAACCAAATGGCAGAATTCCTCTCCTGAATTTGAATTTTCCCTGCCTCTGCCCAAGTTGTTGCATCACTTTGGAGATGCCTGAATGGGCTGGTAAGCTGGGGGCACCTAAATAGTCTGAGACCCCAGACTGGAGGGGACACAAGAGGAGGAAGGACATGGATCACTGTTTTCTTTCTTGGCTTTACTGTTACCACCCTTGGAAAAGTTCTTCAGGAATAGTGACAGTAAGAGCGACAAGAGGTTAGGACTATTCCTCTTATAAATAATAAAATCCAAAAAGAAGTGACTTGAGGTGGTGACAAAAATTCTCCACTTACACCCCAACCTTCTGTTGCTAGCTCAGCTGCTTTCCAACATACCACCTTGACTTCTCAGTCTCCGGGTTTAGGAAGGCAGCTAGAAGACGTCAATGCCATCTCATGAGAAAGTCCACCTGGATCTTGTTTCTGGACTGAGATGGAGAAAGCCACACTGGCTCAGAGAACAAAGGTGAAATAAGGCATCCTGGAGTTGGGATCTTGCCTCTGAATGTGGGGGTGAACTGCAGTCATAGCTGTCACATGCTCTGATGCCCTTCCCAGAGCAGGAGTGGGCTTCTTCCCGGGAGGCCAGTTAAGGGTTCTAGGGTCCAGAACATAAGGTCCCTCTCGGTTCCTATTATTCTGCTCCACCCACAGAGTGCATGGTTCAGCCAGATCCTGGATAATTTAGAACCAAAAAACGTTACAAAGAGAAGAAACATGGAGAACATGTGGGCAAAGCTCTTCTTTCATGAGGAGAGAACAGAACATTGGCCGAGATTATTGCAGCAGCCTCAGGCTGCATGACCTGAGTCCTGGTTCTGTACTCTCTCCTCTATCTACACTAATCCTTCCCTTCTTATCTACCGCCCAGGGGATGTGGGGAGGGGATAGGAATGAACTAGGACTCAGAGGGGCGAGTAGGCATCTGGAAGTCACAAAGCAGCCTGTGCTGCAAGCTGAGGTGAGGAGTGCATGCCCTTCCCAGCAGGGCCGAGAGGGACAAGAGTACCCTCATGTGGTGTCATCCCTAAATCAATGTGCAGTAACAAGCCTGTATTTAGCTGAATTATAAGCCCCCTGTCTCCTGGAGAAAGGTTTCAGGGGCGTGGCAGAGAGGTGACACCAGGGCATTCCGTTGAATATTATCCTTCATCCTCCCAAATCAAGCTGATAATTCCCTGGAAACATTTTTATCTTATACTCCTGCTTCCTCATTGCCCCATGGAACCGGCTTTTCTTCCTGAAGCCCAGAGATTGCTGCATCGGTGGCCAGAACTGGATGGTGTGATGCAGGAGCTTTGGCCCCAACACATGCTGCATCAGCACTCAGTGCTTTGAAAAATTGCCCATGGTGTCTGATGCCAGCCTATAGAATCAGCCAGGACTTGTGAATATAAATCAAATTATGAATTGGTGCAAGAACACACCTGGGAGAGTCTCCGGGTGGGGACAGAGCTCTGTAAGGCAGGGAAGGGTCTGGGAGCTGCCATCGCAGTGCCCAAGCTAGCGGACTTGCTAGAGGAAGGCACAGGAAACATGCATAAAGAGCCTATCGACTTTTAAAGATCTGGCCACCCTTGGGGCTCAAACTGGATAAGAGCAGGAAGGCCTCAGTGGAGAGGGAGCTGGGCAGAGCCAAGCTGAGGTGACAACTTGCAAGTCTCATTGCAGGAAAACAAGCTCAGGGCCACCCCCATGGACTCTCTACTTTTCTCTTCTGTCCCTCTCTTCCCTTTTCCCTTCTTTCCCTCTGCTCCTTTCTCTCCCCCTTCTCCTGCTTCTTGCCCTCCTTTTTCCCCCTATTCCTATTTTCCTCTTTGTGATTCCCTCCCATACAGCCTGTGTCCCAAACTGGCCAGTGGCTTTGCATAATAACTGTTTGAGGTAGGGGTTTCTGCCCATGGGCCAAACCATTGACTATTCTAGCGCCTGTCTCAACAGTAATGAGAACATAACAAGTAGGAAGAAAATATAGCTAACTTTAGTTTGCTTTTTAAAAAATCTATGAGTCCCGAAACAGAAGCAGTAGATTCAAGAGTAGATTTTAATCAATCAAAAGCATCCATGAATACCCTTTAGGGGTACAAAGAAGTATAGCATTACAATCTCTGTCTTTTTTTTTTTTTGCGGCGAGTCTTGCTCTGTCACCTGAAGTGGGAGTGCAGTGGCATGGGCTCACTTTGCAACCTCCACCTTCTGGAGTTCAAGCAATTCTGCCTTAGTCTCTAGATGGCACAGGATTAGGTGCATGCCACCATATGGGCTAACTTTTGTATTTTTAGTGAGATGAGGTTTTACCATGTTGGTCAGGCTGGTCTTGAACTCCTAACCTCGTAAGCCACCCACCTCAGCCTCCCAAAGTGCTGGGATTTCAGGCATAAGCACCCAGCTTTACAATCTGTCTTTTCTGGGTGGTAAAGACAGCACGGTAGTGATCAGTGGTGTCCATTAAAAGGAGGGTTACTGTTCACAATGGCTGTGCATTCACATCTACAATGTGCTAGATCCCCTTTCAGAGCATGATGGGAGAGGGATGAAACACAAAGCCGTCCCCTCTGGAAGCTCCCCGAATGATGGGAGAGACCAGAGGAGTGAAAGGTCAGTGTGGATTGGGGGGACGAGAGGGCTTTCTGAAGTTGTGGAGAAGAGCAGAATAGCACCCCAGTGCAGAGAGCTGCTTGGTCTGAGATTTAATTTTAACTCCTTGTGCAGCCAGAGGCACACTAACAGTGAAACAAAATCTTCCCTTGAAAAACCAATTCCCTTCTGTAGACAGGAAGTGGTGAGAGAGGAACAGAGAGCGGACTACCCCAGACTCATTGCTGGCACTTTGCAGTCTCACTTAAGCTGTGAAACAACAACCCCATGCAGATTCCTTCATTCCCTGAGAATCGAATCCTAGAGACTAACTTTCAAGGTCCCACAATTCCAACTAGAGTTTAGACTTCAAATGTGGCCTTTCCATTACAGTGCTCCCTGCGACTCAGAGCTCCAAGCTGTGAAGTGGAGTGCCGGGCACAAATCCTACAGAGAGTTTCACCTCTTCAGACACAGAACCCTTAAGGGTAAGGGACATTTAGCCTCGTGAATGTGACCAAAATGTGCATACTTGGGAAGCTAAGGATAAAGTCATGCTTTCTCAGGGGGAAGTGCTTGTCTTGCTCTCAGATATCTGCAACCCAGCACTCTCGCGAGCAAACCGAGATCAAGTGTTGTTCCTCTCCACCATTGATCATTCTCGCAGTCACTGTCACTCCCCCAGCTTCTCTCAGGCCTCTTTTCATTTGAGTGTGTTTTGCAGGTTGCCAACAGGGCAGGATGGAAAATGCCTTTCTTCCTCCTTACTGTGCCTGCTACAAGGTGAGTCCCAAGCAGATGGAGTTCCAGGGCTTACCAAACAGACCTGAGTCTTCCAGGCTGCCCTAAAGTTCCTCACAGGCTGGTATGGTAAAACTGTCCAGGTATAAACCATGCTTAGATGACAAATGGCAAATAGATGCTTAATAAGTAATGACTGAATAAATTAATGAATGAGTGAAAATTCTATGATAATACAAAAAAAAAGGATTAACAACTGGCTTAAAAGCAAATCAGAGTTTTAATGACTCAAAGGTAGCCAGTCTAGGCGCAGAAATGGCTCACACCTATACTCCCAGCACTTTGGCCAGGCCAAGGCAGGCAGATCACAAGGTCAGGGGGTTCAAGACCAGCCTGACCAACATGGTGAAATCTGTCTCTACTAAAAATACAAAAATTAGCTGGGCGTGGTGGCGCACGCCTGTAGTCCCAGCTACTTGGGAGGCTGAGGCAGAAGAATCGCAGATCACAGGAGGCAGAAGTTGCAGTGAGCTGAAGTTAGCCACAGTACTCAGCTGGGCAACAGAGCTTGAGACTCCATCTCAAAGCAAAGCAAAAACAAAAAAGCAGCCAATATTTGAGTAAGCCTCTGTGATAAAATCAACATTTTAACCTCCTGTATCCTTTAAAAATTTTTTCAGTAACAGCAGGCTTCTTTAAATGACAACTCAGGCAGGCCCTTGATTTTTTCTGCTAGTAACGATCTAAATTAATTTGCTTTAGAGTCAAGCGTTCTAAATTTGATCATTTAAAGTTTCAGTTAAATGCTTTGGTCAGCACTTCAATCTTCATTTAAGGTATGCTCCCTCATCCCCTAGGGCCTGCAGTCCAGGAACGGGGTGTGGTTGCTGCCTTCCCACTTCCCACCTCTCCTCCCCTTCTAGGCAGCTGCTGCCTGAGACCCTATGAGTGGTAGCAGTGGGAGGGAGAGAGAAGCTGCAGGAGGGCAGGCAGCTCTTTACTTCATGGATGGCCTGGAGCTTCCTCTGGCCTGGCAGAGTTTGAGCTGGCTGTTTAGCCTGTCTCCTCTGTGGGTGCCTTTCTGGACACATGGATGGCTCCTGACCCATCTCCTTCCTTTGCTGCAGGTTCTTCTTTCGCCCTTCACAAAAAGACCCACTCCGAGATGGCTGTGGGAGGCTCTCTCCCTCAGGACTCATCTCGGACCATGGGGTACTCAGGCCTTCGAAACGCCCCTCTGCTGGAGAAGCTCCTTGCAGGTACAACCTCTACCCTCCCTTTGTTCAACCATGGACCTCAGACCTCTCAGGCTCTCTCAGACCAAGTCAGACTCCCTCAGCTAAAGCAGCCACTGCCTCTCCTAATGGAAGCCATAGCAATAGACAATTGCTGAGTAACAAGTGGGATGAGCCAGGGCACCCACCTCCATGGATGGAGCAGGGTTGTCAGGCCCCCAGGTGGAGTACACATTGACCTAAAAATGCTGGCCTGGTCTTGAGTTCTTACAGTAGTTAATATAAATTTAAACCTTAGTGTATATATAACAAAAGGCTACTGATCAGTGATCTATCAAGTGAATCCTTAAGGTAGTTCTGCTTTGGTATTAAAAATTATGTGTATTGCAAGGGTTGATGAAGGGGTTCTTAATCAGCTTTCTACTGTAAAGTCAGACCACCCCATCCTGCTGATTAATGGAACCATGCTCCTCTCAAATGTGCCACATTGCAGATCAGGAGAATCCCTGAAATCTGAGGTATGCACACTTTATCAGGGCATCATCACTGTTGTCCTGAAATGGTCCTTGTTTGTCATTGTGAATGTGCAAATATTCACAACTGTCGTTAATGGTAATTTAACTTTCCCATTAGTGGCATGGTTTGGGTTGTGTTGTTTAATTAAACTTACAGTGAGTATCAATTACCAGCCATAGCATTTATGACCTCTACTCTTCCAGTAATTAGACCTGAGTACACATAATAGGCATAGTAGGTTTCCCAGGCTTATGCACTCACAGGACCCATACTCAGAAGGTACTCAAACCCAATGCTCTGCTGTTGCCATGTTGAAATTCCTAGTAACTTTTAGAACGAGAAAGTCCTGCATTTTCATTTTGCTCTATTCCCCACAAACTGCTTAACTGTTCCTGGTAATGGATTATATTAGTATTTTTACAGTGCTGAAATACCTGACACTGGGTAATTTATACAGAAAATAAGAATAATCTTGCTCATGGTTTCTGGGCTGTACAGGAAGCATGGTGCGGTATCTGCTTGGCCCCTATGGTGAGGCTTTAGGGAGCGTTTGCTCATGGGGGAGGCAAAACAGGAGCAGCATAGCACATGGCAAGAGAGGGAGCAAGAGAAAAGGTGAGGGGAGGCCCAGATCTCATATGAACTGAGAAATAACTCATTTGCTGAGGGATGGTGCTAAACCATTCATGATGGATGCCCCACTGTTAATCACTCCCACCAAGGCCCACCCTCAGCATTTGAAACACATTTTCAGCATGAGATTTGGAGGGATAAACATCCAAACCAAATCAAGGATAATCATGCACTTTCTGGGGTTTAGAGGTCCTAAAGACAGAACAAACTGATAGGTGCCAGGCATCACACCTACCGCAAGAGCTGAACCACATATACAGGGCTGTAGAAGACACCCATAGAGCTGGTCCCAGCGATAGCCCATGAGTCAGTCCCAGGCTGATGAGGGAGGGAGAGAGATCATCAGCAGCTGCAGGATCACTGTGTCAGAGATGTCCACTGTGTTGTGGTCCCCTCCACTTGTCCCAGGGGACAGGAGGCCACCACTTTTCCTCACTTTAAGCCAAGTAAGAGAAGGAACCTCCAGAAAGTCACTCAACAAGCTTGCCCTTTGTCCCAGATTTCTTCTGACCGCAGGACACAGGTGTGCTTCCTGTGTTAAATGCAGGGCCTCCACCTAGAGGGCCACCCAGAGGACTGTGACCACAGAGCGGGCAGATGATGGCCAGAAGTCCTTAGGCTTGTGGGTGGTGGCCACCAAAGGCCAACAGAAGAACATGCAGTTCTCTTAAGGAAACAACTGACCATGTATGTTAAAAATATATCTGGTAGGCAAAAAGAGGCAGCCTTGGTCATCTGCCATGCTGAAAGCACCAGGGCAGATCACAGCTGTCTCATTCACCTCTCCTCTCCCCACTCTACCCAACCCTGCAGGGACACAAACAGAAGCTTTGAATAGGGAAGGAGATGAGCAAAGTGAGAGGGAACCCCAACCATACCCCCTCTGCAACAAACTCCCAAGCCCAGCTGAGAGAAAGGAAAAGGTTTTGACTGGGCAAGAGATTGGGTTGTAATCTTTCACTGGACTGGACTGGATGTATAAGTTTAGACTAAGCAGGGCTTTTTATTATCCAGGAGAGATTATGGCTTCTATGCATGAGATTGTGCCTGAGATTTCATCAAGGTCAGAGATGTCCATGGAGAAGGTATGAAGAGGCAGTGAGAGAAAGAATAAACTTTGTTTCTGCTTGCACCCCATCACATTTAAGTCATCCAGGAAGCTGGCCATATATGTGGTTCAACTATAGTTGTCCTTATGCCTGTTGCCAAACGAACATATTCACAGTACTGCTCATTTATTATTCTCTTATATGGTGGCATTTGGTTGTTTCTGTTTCTATGGAAAAGTGACTAGTGTGAAGATTTTGCTCTGGTCAGACAGGTACCAGCAAGCAGAGCGGGATTCGTGTTTCAGATACTCGTCTTTTGCACATATGAAAGATACACTGATATATTCTTACTGTTTAGCATCTCTCTTTTACACATTCCATGCAAACAAGAGTCCTTCTATCAGGAATCATGCAATTGTCCTGAAAAGGTCCTTGTTTATAATTGTGAATATTTTTGTATTTTAATGATAAATTATCATTTAATGTTATCGTCGGTGGCATCGTTTGGACGGTGTTGTCTAAATCTACAGTGGTATTTGAGTGGTGGTGGCTCAGATCAGCGCCTCAGCCCTCAGCCACATGTGCTTAGATAGCATCATTTAAACATCTGCATTGGAGCACAGGGGAACCATGCTCTGGATGGACCAGGATAGCACAGGATAAGTGTTAGCTAAATAGTGGGTAAGATTATGATGACATTTTCATCCTTACTTCTCAGAGGCAACATCGGCTTTCCCAATGGCTGAGTTCTGCCATTTCTATATTGATTCTGCTCCATGTTCACGGTGGCATTTCTGACCTGACCTCCTAATTCTGGCGAGTTCAGAGATCGTGACCCCCAAACAGTGACTATGCTCACCCTCCCTCTCCTTTGACTTCCTTCTCTTTCTACAGCTCAAATCATTGAAGGGCTCAAGGCTGGTGTCTGGGCAGCCTGGAGGAACTGTCACCATCCGCTGCCATTATGTCCCCTCATCTGTCAACCCAGGCACCGAGTACTGGTACCTCTGGGGGCCCAAGATGGATCTGCCAGACCATTGTGTCCACCAGCCACTACACTCACCATCGCTATCGTGACCGTGTGGCCCTCACAGACTTTCCACAGAGAGGCCTGTTTGTGGTAAGGCTGTCCCAATATCTGACATTGGATCTACACTCTGCGGCATTGGAAGTGATAATGCCATGCTGTTCTGCTTTATGAATCTGACCATCTCTGCAGGTATGAGCTGATGGCTGATGGGTCAAGCTTGGTGAAGCTCGTTCTAGGAAGAGAGGCGAGAGAGGCTCAGAGACCTAAAAGGGCTTGAAACATTAGGGAAGTGACAATGGCGGAGCAGGCCAAGACTTACAAGAAGTAGGCTTTCATTTCAGAAGAGGCTACCTTCAAAGAAGGGAGATTTTAGGAAAAACTTCCCAGTGGTCATGTACCTCTCACCGAGGTCCCCCATATGTCATGGAAGCTATGTATTTGGAGATGGCTCCAGAATGGGATAAATGTGGCTTCTTCGATCCTGGTAGCTACATGTTCAGGCATGCAGAGAAGCGGCAGGACTGCAGAGGAGTGTGACAGGCAGGACAAAAGAATTGCAACTGAGCTGTCCCTCCCTTTGAACTCTTGCTGAGCCCTCAGCAGGCATCTGACAGATCCCAAGCTAGGCTCTGTGGCAGGTTCTGGTTGTTGATCCCAAGTCAGGCACCCAGAGCATAGGAAGGGCATCCAGGCTGTGAAAGGCCACTTGGCAGAAGAGACAGCGTGACAGGAGGCAGCCTGAGAGCAGGTTAATTCTAGTAGATGCTGCTCTCCAGCTGCCTGCTGCAACTGGCTGCTCTGCTAGAACTGCAGTGTTTCTTTTGTCTTTTGAAGACAGTACCTGCTGGAAGGTGGGCCTCTGGAGAAGCAGCTTGGGAGTTCAAGACAGCTGGATAGAAAACTGTGGGCATGGGAAAAGAAATAGGAATATAACATGTCAGTGTCTGCCAAAGACTAGAGAATGCCTGCCACAGATAATGGATAATAGAAAATTTTCCTACTTTTTATTTTATCCATCCTATTGATCAAAAACTGCATCTCTTAGTGAGGTTGCATTCACTTATGAACATGTGAAACCTGGTGTCCTTTGCCAAAACCAGTAGGCCACCTGCAGCGCTCATGTGGCTTCCCTCTGCTGTCACACAGGTCCCTCCCTTTCCCTCCCCACAGCCCGCTCCAGCTGTTGAGGAGCTCACCATGGATCCTGTGGAACAGCATTTCCAGTAGCCAACAGATGGGACCCCAGGAACCACCCAGACCTCCATAGGACAGGGGGACAGCATGGGACAGTGCTTCAACTCCAGGAACCAGCAGCCACAACTTCAGCGAGAGAACAAACCCAGAGCAACCAGGCTAGCAGCTCCAGGGACAGGCAGCTAGGCGGAGGGTTCCGTCAAGTGCCAGCTCCCACATTCAGAGAGTCCAATACAAAACAAGAAGCGTAATACAACAGAAGGTGTTTGGGGCACCAGAAGCTCAGTGACAAGCGGAAGCATTAGCAAGGACTAGGAGGAGATGACAACTGCCAAGGCTGATAGGCCAAGGGAGGACACAGAGCGGGTCAGGATCACTCTTGATGCAGCCAAAAGCTATCCTAGAACCATTAGACCCACCAGCTCTGGTCTCAAAACTCTGGCCTACAAATCCTCCCACAAGCAACGCCAGTTTCTAAGCAACAATCTCTAAGGCTCGTTGGAGAAACAACTCCAGCTGTAGTCTTGTGGACCTTGGGAACTCCAGCTGCAGTGGACCAGCATGGGGCAGCATCTGGGAAGAGTGCAGGGGACCTAGATGCTGCCACTGGAGACAGAGGTCCCAAACCAGCTGAGCCAGGCCCGGCAGTGGGACCTCAGAGGCCTGGCAAAGTCCTCTGTGAAGAGGTAACCCAGCTGTCTCCAGTCAGAACTCATCTGTCTCATCCCTGGCATGCAAGGAGGCTCCTCTCCCTCTGCTCACTTCTCTCGCTACCTGGTGACAGCATACACATGGATGCCCTCCCTCCTCAAGAGCCACCTGTGAGAACCTCCCTGTGGTTTCATTGATATGTGTGAAAGGCAATATTTAGGCTGGAATCTTCATTAGGACTTTCTACTTAAAGATGAAGAATAGAAGCTCAGAGAGAGGGTGATGCCTCAAACCCCCAAAGAAGGTTGTGTGAGCCCGATGCTGAGGTGGAGTTGCTGGCTCCACCTAGTCCTCTTTCTCATTGGGAGGCGTCACCAGACTTACACACGGAAGTGGGTGGAAGAGAGATTTGGTGGAAGCCTGACAGAGATTCTAGTCCCAGCTCTGCCACTAACCAGCCATGGGAAACAGTGTTGCCCACGCACAGCCTCAGCTCCCCACCTGTAAAATGAGGACCTTGGGCAAATGGTCTTTAATCTTCACCCGGCTTAGCCTCCTCTCTCTGCTGCTCTTTCCATCCCCATAGTGCTTTTCAGAAAGATGAAAACGCTCTAGGACCCTGGCTCCTGTCTCTACCATGCTGGCCCTGTTTATGCTTATGGCTCTGGTTCTATTGCAAAGGAAGCTCCGGAGAAGGAGGATCTGTGAGTTCAGTAACCCCAGGCTAGACAGAAGAGTTCTGGATTTCCCCCTGACACCCTCAGGGCTAGAGTAGAGTAGGAAGTCACGGACTTTTCTGTAAAACTAAATTAGCCTAAGCCATTTAACCACTCTTGTCCTGATTTATCTCCTTCCTTCCTTCCTTCCTTCCCTTCCTTCCTTCCCTTCCTTCCTTCCTTTCTCTTTCTTTCTTTCTTTCTTTCTTTCTTTCTTTCTTTCTTTCTTTCTTTCTCTTTTTCTTTCTTTCTTTCTTTCTTTCTTTCTTTCTTTCTTTCTTTCTTTTTCTCTCTCTCTCTCCTTCCTTCCTTCCTTTCTTCCTTCCTCCCTTCCTTCCTTCTTTCTTTCTTTTCTTTCTTTTTTTTTTTTTTTTGATGGAGTCTTGTTCTGTCATCCAGGCTGGAGTACAGTGCTGCAATCTCGGCTCACTACAACCTCTGTCTCCCAGATTCAAGCAATTCTCCTGCCTCAGCCTCCCAAGTAGCTAGGACTACAGGCGTGTACCATCATGCCTGGCTAATTTTTGTATTTTTAGTAGAGATGGGGTTTCACCACGTTGGCCAGAACTCCAGACATCAAGTGATCCTCAGCCTCCCAAATTGCTGGGATTATAGGCGTTAGCCACCCTGCCCAAACTGCCTTGGTTTTTAATCAATAAAATCAGAAATTATCTCTGTACTTATGTGTCAATGGCATCCCAGAGCATAAGGAGAAGCTCTTGGAGGATTACAAAGGCTGTGATGCCCATGTTAACCATAAGCCTCATAAGCAACCCTCACAGCGGAGAGCAGGAGTGCAGGGCCCAGATCTGGGATCAAACCTCGTATTTTTCCCCTTCTGCAAGGCCCTGCTAAAATTCTCTGAGAGCAATGTGCCCAGGTTTAAGTACTCTTAAAGTGACGGCTCTGTGATATGTAGACCTAGTAAAGAAAGGGTGAGATTTTCTGTCAGCAAGTGGAGGAGGCTAAGGTTCTCAGACCCAGGTCCCGAAGTCCAAGTCCTATCAGGGGGTAGGCTGGCTTAACCTAACCAACTAGGGCTCCATTGCTTCTGTGTCAGAAAGTTCTTGAAAACTTGCAGTGGGTGGGAGTGGTTCGTAGGAAATCAGAGTCAGTGCTGTCCTTACCCAGAACCCTCACAGTCTGCTCTGTGTCTCTGCAGCTCAGGAAGCAGAAAGGGTCACCCTAATTCAGATGACACATTTTCTGGAAGTGGACCTCCAACCAGACCAGCTGCCCCATGTGGAAAGAAAGATGCTCCAGGATGACTCTCTTCCTGCTGAGGCCAGCCTGACTGCTCCAGAGAGGAATCTAGGACCCTGAGGGACAGAAAGATGAACTGCTCAGTTAGCATGGGAGGAGGACCAAGATCAAAGGCCTCCAGGACCCCAGCCTCTTTCCATCATCCTTCCTCCACCTGTGGGAAGAGAAGCTGATGAAGCTGGGGCTCCACCCACGGAAGAAAGGCTGGCTGTCCTTGGGCCCAAGAAAGTCAAGAATTATCCACGTCCAAAGGTGACAAGATGACTCAAAGGAGACTTCAAGAAAGTTGTATGAAACACTGGAAGAGGTCACCTAGGAAAAGTGTGAAATTTCCATTCCTGAATGTTTGAAAATAGAAGAGGCTTCCAATCAGTGTGGAAAGTGACAAATCCTCTATCATCACTCCCAGCCCTTGCTAGGGGACCCTTTTCGGACTATTGTTAGCACTCAGCCTCCCACTCACATTTAATTATATTTAAGTGTACCAGCCTTGCCTTCTCAAGTAGATTCTAAGCTCCTTTAGGACAGTAATTGCGTTTTATCTGTCTCATGATGTGCCCCAGAGAACTTCCAACTCAGTAGGACCCCAATAAATACCTGTGGTTGATTGACTGACTTGGGGGCTCAGTGGCCTCTGGGCACCCTGCCTCTGCAAGAACTCTGGGTCCCCCTGGGCTTCTGTCCCTCCTTTTCGGGGTCCCTTAGATGACCCCACAGGCAGCTGGTTTCTACACTGAGACCAAAAGGGCAAACACCCATTATTCACATCATCCCGCCCCATTTGGACCCAGGCTCATTGTGACGTAGACCTTTTGACCTGGCCAAGATTTTCTGGGATTTTCCTACATTCATGGAGGAGCAGGGTATTTTCAGTAGATTCTCGCCTTCTTCATAAAGCCCCTCTTGTTCAGTTGCTTATAAATCCTCGATATGGAGGACTGTTGGTGAAACTGGAAGATGGTTTTTGGGGGTGAGGTGGGAGACAAAAGAGAGGAATTTTATGTGGATTCTGCCCTGTAACTACATCACCTCATGCCTGTCAGGGAACTTTTGCTCCACCCTTGGCCCCACTGCCTTTCCAGGAATCACATCCACTCTTTTCTTTTGCCAGATCCGCTGGCAAACTGTCTGGGCTCCATTGTTGGATGGAACAGCCTGAGCAGTGGAGGCAGAAAGGAAAGATAGGCTCCAATATCAAGCAGAGAATTGCCAGGTAGACATTTCCAGAAGGCTTAGCCCTCCCTTCTAAGCTGTCAGCAGCACAGAAATCCTTCAGTAATACCTCTTCATATCTGTCTGAACACAGACATTGTACCAAGAAAATCAAGGAGATGCAGGTTTCATGGCTTGTAAGAGAAACCTGTTGTTTTGGATAAGTAGGGAAGTTGCACACATCTAACCACATGGAATCACAGAATTTCAAAGCTAACAGATCTTTAGAGATTAACTAGTCTAAAGCCCTCATTCTAGAAGAGAGGGACATGAGGCCCAGCAGGGTTAAGTACAGGTTGGGGGGCGCTTGTTTAAAGTCACCCAGTTAACCCAGTTAGTTATAGCACTGTGAGGACTAGCAAAGAGAACTCGTTACCGTGGTTCAGGGCCTTTTTCACTTCACCATTGCTGAGCGTTGTACCAAAGCAAAACTCATTGTCAAAAATCAAGGATACCACAGTCATCCCTCCAGACTATTTTCCTGTTCACTTTCTCAATGACCTGCCCCAAAAAATCCTGTAACGGAGATAGGACAGACATCATGGATCCCATTCAATCAATGAGGGAGCAGGCTCTGCAAGGTGTGTACTTCAGCCAAGGCCACTCAGAGCAGCCCACCTCCACAGCTATGTTCTGGATCGCTGTGCCCCTTGCTTGGATTTATGGTCTAGGCATCTGGCCAGGTCCTTTCCTGTGTAAAGCTCGAAAGGCTTGCTTCTTTCTCTCTCTTAGGCTCATGCATGCAAGGTTTCATGATCATTTCCAGGAATTGGTTCTCATTTGTGGCAGGGATGGGCCCAGCACCCAGACTGTTTCTAATACTAGATTCTCAGGATGTGAAAAGGTGTTCTGAGGAAAAGGAGGTTTGGTAGATTAATGAAGCTTTGGAAATGCTGGGAAATCACAAACATTCTTCTATGCAGGATCTTTTGGACCCTTTGCTACATGAAGGTGTATTGTGAAACACTTTGGGTTTTCACACCTCGGGGTGGGGACATTATGTGTGTTTCCCAGGTGTGTTGGATTATTGTGGTTCATTGAAGCAGTCTCATGGGGCTGGAGTTCCTCACGTCACTGTTTGGGGAAGCCTGATGCACTAAACCAGGGGTTGGCCATCTCTTCAGTAAAGGGCCACATGGTAAATATTTTAGGCTTTGCAGGCCGTACAGTCTCTGTGGCAGCTACTCGGTTCTGCCATTGCAGCACAAAAGCAACCAGGCAATCCAGAAACAAATGACCGCAGCTGTGTTCCAACAAAACTTTATTTCCCAAAACAGGAGGGAGGCTGGATTTGGCCCTTAAGCCAGAATCTGCCAATCCCTGCACTAAGCCATGAAATTGTACAGGACTCTCTTGTTCCTGCTGGGATCTGGAGATCAGATCCTATTCTTCCTCAAGGGCTTCCCTGACCACCTTTTTCTAGGACTTCTCCTTCCTCCGAATGGCTCTAATACTTTCACTGTGGAATTCAGCAGCTAGAATGTTCTGTCTGACTACCCCATCTTGGGGGAAGAAGGGGAGACAGGAGACCATCAGCCCAGCAAGAGTGTTGGCCACGTGGCTAGAGCCAGGAGCGTTTCTAGCAGGGAGGCCGTTACAGGGAAAGTCAAGTCCCACCAGTGGTGGAGCTGGTAGGAGTTCAAAAGGCCAGAGCAGAGCCAGATTAGATTCCCAGGGCCAAGAGTTTGTAGGGGGAAGAGATAAGATCTGAGTAAGAACTTTCAGGGAAAGAAGTGGGGAAGCCCCAAGTGTTTACAGCTCTCCTTTATGGGCTAACTGATCCATGGAGTAGGCAGGAGTGTTGATTTAAAGGGCCAGAGGCCCAACTGGTAGAGGAGAGTATTATCAGTGCTTTTGTTTTTTATCTTATACCTCCGGCTAGCACGACGCCTATACCGCTGAGATGAGGGGCAGGCAAACATCAAGAATCAGGGAAGCCTCCCTGGGGATTTCTAACCTAGACCCTAATCGAGGATGCAGGGAGGCCATTGATATTCACAAGATCAAGCAGATTCTCAGGTTAGGGAGCAGTTCTGCAGTTCTCCTTACCCTGTTACTTACTAACGCTGCTACTGCTTGTTAATGTGTTTCTGCGCAGCAGGCACTATCCTAGGTGTTTTCACATTGTGTATCGCAGTTACAGCAACATTTCTGTAAGGGAGGTGTGATCATTCCCATTTCCCAGATGGGAAAACTGAGGACCAGATAAATTAAGTTACACTACTCGGGAAAGGGCACACTGGGACTTCATGCAAAGCAGCCCATCTCCACAGCTTCATTCTCGATCTCTGTGGTGTCCCCAGTCTTCCCCCTTGCTTGGATGTATAGTCTGAGTATCTGGTCAGGTCCTTTCCTGTGTAAAGCTCTAAAGGCTTGCTTATTTCTTTCTCTCTCCGTCTCTCTCTCTTTTTTAGGCTCGTGCATGGAAGGTTTCATAATCATTTCCAGGAATTGGTTCTCTTTAGTCACCTAACTAGTTTATTACAATCCCGGCCTAATGAGGCACTAAAAAAAGTTCAGAGAGCCGGAACTAGAGCTAAAAATTCAGGCACCAGCCCTAAGGTCCTTGCTGGCATATGTATAAAAGGAGCTCAGATCTTTATTTGCGGGGATGTCCATCTGTCTCAGGTTACTCGGAGCAAATGCCTGACTCTCAGCCAACTTCTCAGAGCTCTCTGCTAACATGTTGGAGGTTTCTTCCTCTCCTCCAGTAGCCCACTGTGGTCTGACACAAAAAAAGTCAGTTTAATAACAGCCTCAGTCAGACCCTAGAGGAAGATACCTCCACAGAGAGACCCATAGTGCACTTCAGCCAAGTAGACACACGTTATTTGATTGTGCTCCCCTGGTACAGATACCCCAGAGCTGAAAGCATGACTAACGAGGAATGGAGAATGGAGATTCTACTCAGAAAGAAACAAACTCTGCATTCAGGTCCAGCACCACCAAGCTCTTCATTTTTCATATGGTGACACAGCTTGGTTTACAGGTGCTGGCCTTTCCGGGCCTGCCTGCTTCCTTCACTGTCAGCAGGAGGATGAGCTGTCATCCTACTGCCTACTCTCTAATGGGCCAGATGAAAGCCATGTGGGCAGCAGAGAAGCGGCAGCCTCGGGAGAGAACCCCATGCTGCACCTCTAGAGGCATGTGGAGATCACCGGTGCCAATGCCCCCAGCCTGCAGGCCTCCTGGATGCATTGCATCAAAGACTGTTTGCCTCCTGGATGCATTGCATCAAAGACATTGATTAAAGCCAGGCACCGTGGCTCATGCCTGTAATCCCAGCAGTATGGGAACCCGAAGCAGGAGGATCACTTGATGTCAGGAGTTAGAAACCAGCCTGGACAACATAGTGAGACCTCATCTCTACAAACAACAACAACAAAAAGACACACATTTGCTGAATAGGATCTGAACTCTTCTATGTTCTGCCTCTGCCAACCTCTGGCCTTATTCCCACTCCTCACTTATTTGCTACCTCTATCCAGATCTACCAGTTCTGCTGTGAGCATAGAGGGTCAAACAAAGGCCACTTCTTTCCCTGAGTGGCAAACTTCTGGCTTCCTAACCTTGAGTGCTTCAGAGAAGAGGAAGAAAGCTAGGACTATTGTATCCAAAGGTGTTTTCAGAATGTTCTAATTTATCTGAAGATACTGCGTTTCATTTCAGACAAGAGTTCAAGAAAAAAAATTCAGAATGTGGCTTCTTTAGGGCCTGGCATGGGAAGATCAGACTGATTAGTAAATGCAACTAATCAAAACATTTTATGGGGCCAGCACTTTCCTTCCCTACCTCTGCCAGTGTAGTACAGACAACTACAAATTAATTACAATATACATCACCAAAAAGAAACAGAGTCCCATTCTACAGATGGGGACATTGAGGCTTAGATGAACACAGGCTGCAGGGGATTACAGGGGCTATTTTTCCAATCTCTGCCTGCCAGGCAAGCCTTGGGCTGAGAGCCAGGCTCAGACCAGGAACAAGGAAACAGCCAAGTCTTCAGGAGGACCCCAGTGGCTTATGAGAGGGGCTGGGCCCTGTCACCTGACACTCCACCTATTGACTTTGGATGCCTACTCCAAAAATCTTCCTCCTTCCGCTCCTCCCTAGCCAGGGTGTGGAGGTAAGAGCGCACAGGACAATGGTTCGGTCACCTCAAAAAATGTTTGCTCATATGTCCCTGCCTCTCAGAAACAGAGAATCAAAGCTCTTTGGAGTGTAGGGACTAGGCCCAAAGAAGAATTGAGAGAGCTTTTGGACCATGGCTGACTTTCCATTTCCAGGGCCTTTTTCTTTTCTTTCTTTTTTTTAAAATTATTTTTATTTATTTATTT